ATGTTCTTGTATAAATGAGTTGTCTGTAGAAAAGTATATGGGATTTAGAAATAGAACATAAATAATATGTTCTTAGTATAGATCTTATAAGAATTAAGAATATATTTAAAGAGTTGCTTTAATCTTTAGCTCAAAAAAAAAATGTTCTCTGAAATTATTTATAAAATAAAAAATATATAATCTATATTCTTTTATATAATAAATACTTGCTAAACATATAAAATCTACATTCTCTAATTTATTATCAGATTTCTGTATTTCTTTTATGTTAGCTATTGAAGTTAAACTTGGCATAGTTGTTAAAAGCTCTCTTATTTGATGATAACATATGGTGTCAGTTGTGTAAAATGAATATTCTACTTCATATCTTATAGAATTACATTGTTCTGGTCTTTAACTTTTTTATTCAAAGTACATAGGTCTTAGCTACAATATTACTATTGTTATAGAATGATTATTTTATTTTATTTTATTATTAGTTATTTTTAGATATTATTTATTATTATTGTTAAGTATATTATTTTATATTGTTATACATGATGTAATACTTAGTTACTGTGCCGATTACTGTGCATTACTGTGCCAGTTACTGTGCCGATTACTGTACATTACTGTGCCAGTTACTGTGCTGAGTACTGTGCATTACTGTGTCGCTTAGTCACTTAGTCACTTAGACGCTTAGTCGCTTAGTTGCTTAGTCACTTAAATACTTAGTCGCTTAATAACTTAGTCGCTTTGTCATTTTGTCGCTTTGTCACTTAACTTGAAAGATATATAAACCCTGCTAAATTCTCCAAGTGACAGTAGATACAAACCACTTTCCCTCTACCCTTAACTTAGTATTCCTCTTGTAAAAAGGATTCCTTAAGTATAGAAGCCTAATGGATAGCCTCTCTATTCTTATTAATAAAAGTATATAACATTCCCCCTCTAGAGTAATTCCTATAGGCAAGGCTTGTTATCTTTGTTTAAAGTATAAACTATCATCTCTTGTTTTACCAAACTGCCTCAGAGAGAAGGGTATAGTTTCTTACAGACTAAGGAATTATACTTACCTCTTGGACACTGCTATAAACCTATAAAGGATCCCTGTAGCCGTGTCATTGTTATAGTACTGCTGTTAAGAAGGCCACGGTACTGTAACAATATTTAAACTAATTACTTAATACGAGAGAAGAAAAACTAATTACATGGCAGCAACTCAAAAGTTATTAAGACCAATCAAGTAAAAGAAAGAAAGCAGGATGATTCAAAGTGATTGAATCAAAAGTGCTTAGCAGTTCAGGAAACAAAGCAGTACAAAGCTACTTTAGAACGAGTAAGCAAAACACCCAGGCAATGCAAGTTAAATGGGAGCATATATCAGAAGATAGAAAAAGAAAAGAATGGATAATATATAGTACACAAAACCACAGACAACTTAGAAAGGTAGTAAAAAAGAAAAAGAAAAAAGTATTAATCGAACATTGGCAGATGAAGTGCAAAGAGAACGAAGTAGCAACTGAAATCAACAGATGTGAAGGATATGAAAGTAAAGAAGAACAGATAAAAAACAGTTGCCAACAATGGATAAGATTAAATAAAAACACTTACGTAATTCCAGATAGATTAATAAGTAAGAGTAGTAATTAAATCAAGATAGTAATAGACCAAATAATAAATAAGACAGAAATAGACAAATCAGAAATAAGTGAATGCAAACTAAAGGGTCTTATAACAATAAAAAAACTAGAGATAGAAATTATCAAATGACAAAAATTAGAAGAAAGTATTAGTCAAGAAATAATAGAAATTTTAAAGAGAAACATTATAAGAAACAAAAGCAAATATATAATATATACTAATGGTACAACAACTAGAAGAGATAGTAAAGAGCCAATATCTAAGAATAACATGGGTATAGAATGGGTCCAAACAAGTAAAATGCAAGAATGGCCAAAAGAAGAAGTAGCATTTGGACTCGAAGAATGGCAAACATCGACAATAACAGAGTTGGTAGCAATTTGGGTAGCAATTCTAACGATACCTAAAGAGAAGCAAATAGAAATATATACAGACAGTAATGTCATAATAAGAAATATTGGCAGAAGCCTAGAACAAGCAGACAGAAATAAGATTATTAAGAAGAAGAATACAATATAGATAATGAAGATTAAAGATCTTGTTAAGACAAAAAACATTCAGATAGAGTTAGTTAAAGTCAAAGAGCATAGTAAAGATAAATAGAATAATAGAGCCAATAGTTTAGCAAAAAAGGGAATGATGAGTAGGAAAATAGTACAGGCTGAAAAAGTTAGTTGTAAAGAGATAGAGTGAGAAAACAGAAGAACTGACATACCAGCAAGACTGCTTTGCAAGTTAGTAACAAATGCAAGAATAAGAGCAGAGTGGAAAAAAACAAAAACAATTAAAAGCTTGAAGCCAGAAGCAGAAATCACAATTTACGATTGGACTTATTTCTGGAAAAGACTAAAGACGATCAAGAGAATACACTGCACAACAAGAAAAAGCAGCTCCAGAAGAAGTGCATTTATTAAGTGCATAATAGACAAACTTCCAACATTAGAAGAACTTAACAGAAGAAGGCCAGATATATACACAACAGTAAAATGCCAAGTATGCCAAGATAAAATAAAGGAAACACAAACACACTTGGCAGCATGCAAAGAGTAATGAAATCTCTGGAAAAGAATCCAAAAAGTAACCATTGCAATAGCATAGAAGAAGTTAAAGGAAAAAGAAAAGATCCGGATTCCCTCATATGTGTTGTATACAGCACTCTTCGGAAAAACAGAAACAGAAGAAGTTAAAATAAGAGAAGCATTAATAAAAGGCTTAATTTCAAGAGAAACGTAAGACAAACTAGTGAAGCTATTAAACACAAAATCAAGACAGCAATTTGCAAATACAATAGCAATAACAGTCTGAGACACATTTTATGAACAAGTATGTTGTAAAAAAATTATCAAATGGGAGAAAAAGAATGGAATAACAGGTAGAATTAAAAGAAAAAAAGATGAAAATTTAAAGAAACCAAGAAAACGAGAAAAGACAAATCAGAAAGAAAAAAAAGAGAAAAAAGAAAAATTAAGAGAAAAAGAGAAGCAAGTTGAGAAAGAAGTAATGAAGACAATGCTGAGGCTTGTCATGAAAGAGAGAAGACCTTTTCATTATAGACTTTAAGTAGTCAGATGAGCAGCTTATTTCTGTTTGAAGTAATGTGACAGGTTGCACTTAGGTACCATTAAGGTGGCTGGGTAATGCTAGACTTAGATATTAGAGATATTTATGTAGTTACAAATATAATTCCAAAAACCTAATAAAGTACTAGCATGACTGCTTATATGATAAAAAAAAAAAAAAAATATATATATATATATATATAAATTATATGAAGATTATATAATTTAGATCAATCAAAATTAACAATTTTATGTAATTACAGAAATTTAAAACCATTATGAAAAACTTTGCAATATATACAAATATATTTTTTTAAAATATTTTATCTATTAAAAATTTTAACATTATAAAGAATGTATCTTATTCTATATTATATAAAAATTTAATAAAAATTAATTACAATAAAAAGATTTATTAATAACAAAGTTTTATTTTTTGTAAAAATCATATATTACAAAGATCACATGAAAAATGATCTATATACTCTCTATCCTTAAAGTATAGTGTAGGTCAACTTGATGACAAGTCTGTGAAACTTAGTCTGTGTAATGCCAATTGACCAATAGAAATTTCTTAAAACATAAAAATGCAAATTTTTTTATCACATATAAAAAATATAATTTTGCATAATTTAAGATGAATTATGTGAATATTATTTCTAATTATAATTCTTTTTGCTTGTGATCAATCACAAATTAAATTATATATGTTGGATCCAATTGTAATGGATATAATCCCTCATCAGTTTTAATACGGTACGGTCTGACACTAGTTGATTTACACAAAAAAATCACGTGGATGCAAGTCAAAGCCAATCATTTGAATTTCTGCATCATAATCGTGTTAGTCTCATGATTACGTTTACAAAAACAAACATATGTCACAAGTCTATCTTACAACAATCATCATATTCATATTGATCATCGTTGTCTTTTTAAAATGTGAGATTTAATCATTTATATTTCACCGTTCCGTTATCCATAATATAAAAATGTTTTTTCACTGCATATATTATGAATGCAGATTTAAACCTGCATCGGTGAATAGTTAAATACGGTGAAGATTTCTATTTTTTCTATTCATGACCTTAATAATGGATGTAAAAATATGGGATAGTTTTTCTTATACATAGCAATATAAATATATATATTTAACCCGACGTTTCACCAAACGTCATTTACCATTTGTCTCTATCACAATTGGTGAAATTAATGCCGCATTTAGTGATAAGGAAATCGAGTAAGTTGACTAAATTTTTATTAGTCAACTAAAAAATCAAGATAAATTATAAATGAATATAGTGTGGTTGGACAAATTTCTTAAATAATATCCGCAGTAGACATGTAGACTAATACGTAGTCACCCAACTTTCTGATCGGAATCGGATTTAGTTGGTTTTTCATATATCGGTAGCTTTTCTGCCTCATGCGACTTTATCGTTATGTTGATTGATTTCATTCTTCGATCCTGACCATGCTACAAGTGGCTTGATGCAGGGGTCGTGGCACATGACAGTTCTTTTTCGAAGTCCTTATGCAATAGAGAGCAAAAACGTATACGTAGTACGTATAAAAATCTACCTTTATATTAGTCTGTTCAATGGTGTTCATTCGCTAATAGATTTATATTCCATTCTTGAATTATGTTCGAATCACACGTCTAGCACCATACTTTATTTCGTACGTATGTACTACGTATACTCATTACAATGCAACGTTTTTATATTAGCCATTTTTATTTTTATGCGATGTTTAAATTTAAAATGTATGCTCACTAATTTATGCGAATTTTAATTAACAAGATTATTAAAATTTTCTTTATACTTCTATTCTAAGGCCGTTCCAATTTGATCCTCTGTTTAACATAATATAATAAATGGAGGGGGTAAAAAAACATAAGATTTTGATTGGCTAAAAAAAATTATATATTAAAGTGATGTTATTTATCCCCTATATCTGAGGCTCAAGGTTATGTTAAACTTAGTTTTAAATTGGTGTGGCCTATGTTGAAGTGAACAAAATTAACTAAATACTAACTATTCATGAACTCGAATAGCTTATCTTAAATACTTGGATTAATATACATTCTCTACCCTCACATGCTTTATACTCATGGGTTAAATAAATGAATTAAAAAAATATATTCTTATTTATTTAAAACAGGTGATGTTTATAATGTAAATTATGTTTTTATAATCCGAGTCACCCGGGTGCAATGGTCATGACCCGGTTGATATATCTTATACAGGTTACCCGGGTGATTCTTATACGGGTACAATCTCTAGAATTATCTCTGTGGTGGTGGCCTTTCTGGTACTTGATACATTTCCCAGTCCGTTGATTGCGGAATGTTCGTTTCGAATGATGTAGGTTGTTGCTGCTGCTGTTGCAGCTCCATAAATTGTGGCGTTTGTTGCTGCTGCTGTTGTTGTAACTGTTGTGCATACAACGCCTGTTGCTGCTGTTGCTGTTGCAACAACTGTTGTTGATATAATTGCTGCGGATCTGGTTGTGCCGGTTGCCCGAATCCTCCAAATGTTTGTGTTTGTACACCAAATCCACCTGCTGCATTTTGTCCGAACCCGCTCCCGCTCATAGCATTTATCCCAAACCCTTGTTGAGTTTCAGGAAATCCAATTGTATTTTGTCCAAAAGTTGGTGTTACTCCAAACGCGGAAGCTTGATTTCCAAATGTGTTTTGTTGAGGAACTCCGAATCCTTGTGGTGGTTGAGGTTGTCCAAATGTGTTGCCACCACTACCAAACGATTCAAATGAGGATTGTTGCTGTTTTTGTGACTCGAATCTGCTGAGTGAATTACGTAAGTCTTTAAGACAAGAATCTATTTGCGTTTGCGTTCGATTTTCCAAATCTTTAACACCATTTTGCTATATGGTTTATAAAAATGTATTGTGATTATCTATATCCTGCGGTATTGTGGTCCTCTTAACTTCATTACTTGTCTTCGAAGAACTATTGACACAGTTTGCAAAATATAACTGAAGATAATTGGTACAAAAAATATCTCCAAAATACATACGTATGATATATCACATCCGACTGTTCCCATAATTATATAATATTGAAGTCGCAACTCTTCTGGTGAGTAATCTGTGCCATCTATTAGATTGGGTTCTTCTTTTGCTGGTCCGTAGACCGAGTACCGATATATAGGACGGTCTTTAGTCAGATCTGCTCTTACACTCCTCTCACTATAAAATGATTTGTCATTTTAAATATAAATACCATTGAATGTAGTGAATCAACGCTGAGCCTCATAAATCTTTAAAAACATACTCATAAAGTTTGTTATTTGTTGTAGTCGAAACTATACAAAATCAATAAATAAGTATATGACGCTATAAATCTGATATACAATAAAAGTATAGATCGTTTTTACTATTAACGAACACTCTAACAAGTTTCTTAGTTTTGTTATTCTCACCATAACTGATTCGATCATATATGTCTGAACGTGTATTGCGTTGATTGCCTCCATATGGCTGACGATGTTCATTTTGACACGCGTTACCGAATTTGCAACGTCCTTCCAGGTAATATTTACAAATCGTCATTTTATTTTTATTTTTTTCTTGGATTATTGGAAATTTTAGAACAACGCACACTCGGCCCTGTATTAAAAAAACATGTGGCTAAAAAACATCTATTTATATGGACACCCGGTAGTTAATATAACATTGTGTAATTCTTAAATGATTGGTCAATTTTTTTTACCTAATGTTTTACTAAAATAGGTTCGTACATACGTACCATAAAATGAACCAATTGTGATCGTTATTTAACTGCGGAATCCACGGCATTTCCGAAAGTATTTCGGCATTGATTTTTTTAATGCCGAAGTTCTTTTGGAAAATCCGCAATAGTTTCTACGCCATGTACAGCAGTATACTCTGGACACGTGTGTCAAATAAATTTCTAAATTCAGTTCCAGGTTTTAATTTGGTATTTTCAATAGTGCTCATATCGATATCGATACGTATCAAAATAGATGTGGGAGAAATTACTTTTCTTTACGTTAATAAAATATTTTTGTAGAAATTGTAGAAATGATTTGATGTAGAAATTAGTAAAATTAGTTGAGAGTTTCTATTCCGACCCGGATTAAAGAACTACCCCAAGAACCAAGAATTTTGTGCAATCACGTGATACCGCATATTCGTATAACCGCATGCGTGATTGTATATAATTCTTATGCGCCTTTCTAATTAACAAATTTTATTGATGTTGAATTTTACCAGTTACAGTCAGACCTCCCTAAATGCACGTCGTCAGGACCAGCTCTAGAGCTATAGGTGCTGACCAATCCGGACAAATCCCAAACCTCTAAAAAATAATTGCTAATTATAAAAAATTAAATCAAACAAATAATTTCAAAATTTTATAAATATATTTTATATAGTTATAAGAATATACTTAATTGACAATTCACGATAGAAAGAGAATAAAAACCGGGGGAGATTTTTATAATAAAATATATTAAAATATATTAATACAGGAATCACGATTTCTATAGTTCATAGAAAAAATTAAACTTAAACTACTTGTAACTTTCTACATATTTAACTAATTTTACCAATCTTACTATTATTAGAATCGCAAAAACTAGCTCTACAACTTTCATTAGATGACCAAAAGATGTTAGATTAATAAAAATTTAACTTCAAATAGTCAGGAATGCTGATTTCTATATTTTATATTTAATGTTATAGATTTTATTAATACAAATTCTCCTTCTTTCATAAATTGTCAATTAATTTATTTAAATAATAATTATTAATAAAATTTTTGAGTTATGAATTTGGTCAAACTCTTTGAGTTTGTCTACTTTAAGTTTACTTAAAGTAAACAAATCCAAAAAGTTTGATCAAATTCATTGCTTAAAAATTTTATTAATAATTATTATTTAAATAAATTAAGTATATTCTTATAACTATAGAGAATACCCAGATAGCTTTTAACACAACAACTGCATTACTTGCCAAGCATCAGAACACCAACTGCATTGGTTACTTTGCCTTAACCTAACAAATCTTATTAGTATTATTACAGAAATAATTTTTGAAACCATTAACAATAACTCACTACTAGACATTACACAATCACAACTACAACAACTAAACCATTTACTAACTCAACATAACAGCCTATCAGTCAACAATGCTCATTGAAAACAAAGCAACATATATACAACATTACAAGGATATGTATTAACAGATCTAATCATCACAATCAGACCTTATACCACATTTCATCAAATTGCAACTTCCATAACTACCAAACTGCTTACCAAAATATTGCAAAAAATATATGATCATATATGGAAACCATATGCTACTAAATTAGCACAATAGAAAAAAGACAACAACATTATATCAAATAACAGATCTACAACTTACAGAAGATCTTATAACTACTCTAATCAACATCGTAACTTATATTATACAGTCTGCCAACTGTGTGGTCTGTCTAACCAACTCTATACAGAAGATAACAACTGCTCATCATTAAAAAATGCACTTTGTAAAATTGACCTTTGGTCTGTATATTGGATACTATACAGCTATCCTACAAACAATATCTTATATTATCAAATCTAAGTGAGTTTTAATCACTCTAGTAGATTTAGGTTGCAGATAAATTAGATAGAAATCTGTCTATAGTCTGAGCTCCATTCTTGTAATATATTTGTAATTGGAATAAGTTTGTAATTTATATTTAGAGAAGCCCCTGGAGGCTTCTTTAACAAATTAATAAAGATATGAGCAAAACCTTACCTTAAAAAAAAAAAAATAAAAAATAACTATAGAGAATATATTTATAAAATTTTGAAATTATTTGTTTGATTTAATTTTTTATAATTAACAATTATTTTTTAGAGATTTGGAATTTATTTGGATTTGGTTAACATGTATATCTAAAGCATATATTTAGAAAAAATTACAATTAAACATTAATCAAATTATAATATAATTATTATTCTAACTTTAATAGTCTAAAAATAACAAATTTAGAAGTATAGTAATCTAATAAAGTAGTCAGATTGTTAATTCTCAAATAGCAAGTCTAAAGCTCTAATTTCATAAATATTAAATTTTGAAAATTATATCTGTAATATAATAATTGATTCTATTAATCAATTAAATTAGTATATCTATAATCTTCAGTTATACTATTTTGATAAAAGTTTAGAGCATCTATATAAAGTATAATATTATATATATATAGAAAAATATTATAATTAATGTTGTATAAGACTTTAATACAAACTAATAATAAAATCATCAGACACAGAAAACAAAAGAATCAAAAAGTTAAAATCTATATAAAAATCCTAAATAAGAAGATAGTACAAACTTTTAATAATGTTATTGGATTAATGAAAGTTTATAAGATATCTTTAGTAAAAATAAGTAGATAAACCAGATAACAAGATGTATAGAGAATAATATAACCAACCAGATTATCAGAATTGTTAGAAAAAAGGATATTAAGGTATACTATATTAGACTATCTGAATTGAAAGTTTAAAAAGTTTTATTAGTTCTTAGTTGTAATTAATAAGAGAAAATAAAGAAAATATTAGAAAAATAAATACTAAAATTTAGATGAATCTTATAAGGCTATAGTATTTTGATGTTTGGCTCTAACTACAAATTTCAAGTAATATTAAGTTAGCTATAAGTAATGTTGTAGGCTAAATTAAATTTCTATTTCTGAAATATTTCAGATTTTAATAAACAATCTGAAATCATAATCCTAAATTTCAAAATCAAGATAAAAATTTAATATGAATCTAATATAAATTTAATATTCTAATAAATTAATATATATTGATATTGTTAGAAATAAATAATATTTATCATCAATATTGATATTATTGTGCAATTATAATTATAATTTACAAGTCCTTATTGGCTAACTGAGTTTTAATTTTGAAGTTGTTATGCTTATATAATAATGTACAAAAAATAACAAGAAAAATCTATGATTATAAAAGTTTATATGATAATTTAACTTAACTTATTATATAAGTACTATCAAGAAAAAACCTGTTATAAAACTTTTACTTATATTTATTTATTTTTTTTTTTTTTGGTATTAAGGTGAGGCCTTGCTTATATCTTTATTAATAATTTAAAATAGTTACATGTAT